TTTGACCTCACAACAAATACTGTACTCATGACTAGATTGTGTTAACTTTGCAACACAGAATCCTCTGGTGGAAAATGGCCAAATTTATGTTTTCTATATACTAACTTAAAGAACTGTAGGGCAGCAGTGAAATGGAATCGTTTGGGAGGGGAATGAATAGTAATAATAGTAGTAATGGTGGTGGTGGTAGTATATTTTTGGAGCTCTTCCTATGTGCCTGTACTTTCACTTGTGTTAGCTCTTTAATCCCCACAATAACCCTATGAAATAGGTACTATTATCATATCCCCATTTTACAGAAGAGGAAAGTTTAAGAATAATAAAGATAGAGAAGTTGGATGTAATAAAGGCTGCAGTAGCGTCTGTCTAGTCTCTCCTCATCCATTTGGTCTTTGTAGATGTGATCCCACCCCAGCTGCCCTGGGAAGGATTAGGAATGGGACACACAACACTCCATGAAGAATCACTCTGATTTTGTCCTTGGAAATACCCCCCAAAGCTAAGGGGGTTCCCCACCACATTTTATAATGACTCTCTGATCACATAGCTTCCTTATTCTGGCCAGCACTGCTTTGTACAGCTCGTGGGAGTTCTTCTCTCATTTGTAGGGTTTTGGGCATTTACAGCACCTTTCCAGCACTTACTGTGTGTCCCAACTACTTTGTTTGAGATTGAAAATTTATAGGCAAAGAAAATGTAGCCTCTGCCATCCTTGAATATCTGTACATTCCATAACGTGTAGTGGAATAAGTGCCATGGAAGTGGGTAGATACTCTTTCTTACCAAGAAATAGTAAGATTGTCCCCAGAAAGCACCTCCTTCATGGCCTTACAGTGTTTCTCATTAGAAGCACCATTGGCATTTTGAGAAGCACATATTTTCCTAGCACAGGGCTGGCTTTTCCTTATATTTTTTGACATTTGGCACACTTGACCTCTACCTATTAAATGTCAGTAATCCCCCACCCCCATTATTAGGACAATTGAAAGCACACCCACACACTTGCCAACACCCTGAAGAGGGCAAAGACGTCCTCGTACGTGGTCGCTCAGGTTTTGCTCAGACTGGGTGGAGGAAGCTGGGGAAGTGGACGCGGAATCATACTCTTTGTACAGCTGTCACATTCCTGCATCTCATCCCTACCGTACCATCTTGAGACATCACATCATTCTTGGGAAATTTTTTTTTTTTTTTTTTTTTTTGGCTGTGCCACGCAGCTTGCAGGATCTTAGTTCTCCCACCAGGGATCAAACCCGTGCCCCCTGCAGTGGAAGCACGGAGTCCTAACCACTGGACCACCAGGGAATTCCCCATTCTTGGGAAATCTTGACACTGAAAGCATATCTTTATGAAGAGGGCAACAGCCTGCTCAGGAGATTTTGCTTTGCTAAAGACCCGTGCATTTTACAAATTTCCTTCGAGTTCCTTACAACCAACATCCATTTGATGGAACAGATATTAAACCAGAGAGAAAGACACAGCCCTTTAGTGTGTTTTGGCTAGAAGTTGGAGGGGTAGGGCATGCTGCAGGAAGGGCAGTGATGGTGAGAAACATTTAGCCCTGCAGTGCCACGGTGTAATACAGAAAGTAAGACAACGTTCTAATAAGAGGATGTGCGGTTTAGAAAAATTCGCCGTATTGTTGGCAGTGAGCTGCATATGTAGTCAGGACAAGACACAGCATAGTTCACTTTGAATCTTTGAATGTGAATCAGTTGTTAGACATCCAGAGCATTCCCACAGCTAACTCTTTTGAGTCTGTCTGTCCTACTCTAGAAATAATAAAAAAGTGTAAGAAGTTATTTATAGGGAACGTATACAATATTATATGTTAGTGTTGAGCAAAGAATAACGTAACAACTAACTTTTATAGAGAATACTTGAATCTCAAAAGTTTGGTGGGAGTAGAAAATGTATTACTAGTAAACTAGAATGAACTGAGGTTCAAGAAAATGGAACGGAATTTTGGATGGAAATGGAAACTCATAGCTGCCATAGAAAGGACTATGTCAATATGTAATCTCAGGCAAAACCCAAGTAACAGTGCACCTGGTGTCCTCCGTGTCAGTCATTACAACACTTGCATACTGTAAACCCCCAAAGCTTGTGCTTTAACTGTGAGATACCGTGGCCTGAGTAACACCCACTGGAATTCAAAGCAAGCAAGTTTCTCATGGCACTGACCACACTGCCTTAGACAGCTGAGCACTCCTGCACCCATCCAGTGTTGCACTGTAAACATTCCTTCCTCTTTGCTAATAGCCTCCACTTGCTTAAGCAACTTCTTTCTGTGACTTGGAGACTGCACTTATGTTACTGATGAGATTAAAAACAGCTTTCACTACAAAAGCTTATGTTGTTGCAGTCTGTTCAGTGTGTGTGCAGTTGGACAAATAAACCTCCTCTATCCAAAGTCCCTCGTTTGATCTTCTCTTGCCCACTGTCCTGCCCCTTACACATCCACAGACCTCTGCTGAGGCTCTGTCCCTGGTCACCTCCAAATAAGGGGGCCTAGTTACAGACTCTGATTTCTGATTACAGCAAGAAGGCATTAAAGTAAATGCCTGCTAGGAATATTGGTTACTAAAGCAGTTTCTAGAAAATAAAACCAACCTAGCTAGCCTGTGAGGTGAATTCTGATATAAGCTACATAGTTATATAAATCCTTAAATATCGAATCCCTAAGTCTGGATTGCCTCTTGTGGCTACAAACTTCTGTAACCAGCGAGCCAGGAATGGAAGCAGAATCACAGTTGATGAATTTTCTAACCTTGGGCCCGGTTATCATAAATAATAGTTTCATTCTAGATTCAAATTCCTGCCTTAATTGGTATGGAAATCTCAGGGTTATTCATCCAGGCAGTTCCTGCTGTATTATCTGTCTCTTCCGTGTGTTCATGTGTTCATTGGATCAGCTCACTCCTGCCTTGAGCCTGCTTTTCATTTACACCTGAATACCTTGCTCCATTGCCTCGCCTTCCACTCAGAGCTCACTCGGTTCCCTTTGCTATTTGCTGTATCTTCAGTAAGCTTTTCTCTTCCCTCACTAATGAGAACAGAGATCATGGTTTCCTCTGGCCCCTCCCTTCTTAACCCCAGAAGTCCTATTTGACTCCCACTCAGCACTTCACCTTGTGAATAATATTAACATTTTATTCACATAGTCGGGTATTTATTTACATGTGATCCTTGGTCTCCACATTTCCTCACATCTCTAGAAGCCCCTTGGGAAAAATCATGTCTAATAACACGCACACTGAGACAATTCAAGTGGGATCACGGAAGATCAAATGTCATACTAAAAAAAGGTTAATAAGCAAGCTCTGAGCTTTTTGGTACTGTTCTCCAGGAAGATTAGCTGAATGTGTGTAATTGTGCAACTGAACTGTGGGAGCCAAACTGTGGGAGGAGGTGAGCAAGGGATATGACATATCAGAGGTGAGATTATGTGAGTAGAAAACCTTTCATCCATGGACTTCAGAATATATTACACAGACTTTCCCTTAACTCTGTGTCTGGAAATCTCTTTGAGAGAGGTAGAGAAACCAAAGCAGAGACCCAAAATGACCAAGCTATGAGAGAGACGTCCCCCCAGGCAAGAGAGGAGCATGGGCTTCTGGCCTCAGAAGACATCCCACTTTGCTCCCTCCCACAGGGCTCTGTTGAGGTCACAAGGACCTAGGCTGTTAATAACCAGGCAGCCGTAGGTCAGGACTCAGGAAGGTTCTGTGTAAACTCACCCCATGTGTTGTTGCATCTCTGCCACCAAAATGACCATTAACACCAAAGGATATTTACAAAGGGAAGAATAACACGATGATTTAAATCACTATGAATATGTCTCTTGAATTAGGCACTGTTTTATTTCTCTAAGCACCATTCACCAAGGTTTTGGGATAAGGTTGTTCACTATGACACTCTTTGTGTTTCTTCTATGTACAATTTTCTGGTCACTGTAACTCTAAAAGGAAAAAAACAAAAATACTAGGTAGTTAAAGAAGGTTCAGAGATGAATAGCCAAAATGTTAAGGAGATGGAAGGATTTCCAAATAAGACTGTTCTAAAAATAAATGGGGACCTTTTCAAAAAAACTGTGGTAAAATAATACATAATATAAAATTTACCATTTTTAAGTGTACAATTCAGTGGCATTTCATACGTTTACAGTGTTGTGCAACCGTCACCGCCATCCGTCTCCAAAACTTTTGTCATCATCCCAAGGTAAAACTCAACACCCATTAAACAATAACTCCCCATTCCCCTGTCTCCCCAGCCCCAGACAACCACCATTCTACTTTCTGTCTCCATGAATTTGACTATTCTAGGACAAATCATACAATATTTGCCCTTGTCTGGCCGGCTTATTTCACTTAGCATAATGTCTTCAATGTGTGTAGGCTAAATGCCAACCTGGCTGGGGACCCTGATGAGATGAATTCAGAATAAGAAAAAATGTATCTTCTCACACCAGTTATGTTATCCCATGATATGGGGACATAAGCTCAAATACAAACACTTATTTTAAAAATTTAGGTACTTCACTAATGGGTGGCTAAGAAAAACCAAGACTCTTGCACAATTCACCCCTATAATTTTGAAGTTGATGTTTAGATAAGATGATTGTTCCTCTGTTCTTACCTTGAAATAACCTACCATCCTTCATTTGAAGCTCTCTGGGCTCCTCTTGGAGGTCCTTTTGACAGTCACAGGGGAGTGAAATTGCTATTTGAATTATTTAACATTCAACAGATATTTTTGTGTGCTGAGCACGTGCCAAGCCTTATGGCAAAGCGCTAGGAATAGAATAGAGAGCAGAGCAGCCCGCCTTTGTCTTCATGGAGCTGCGATTTCATAGGCGAGTCAGATGATTTATCCCACAAACAGATTTGTAACTCCAAACTGCTTTCAGTTCAATAAAGGAAAAGTAACTGAAATATTTCTCTCCTTACCTTCATTGTTCACACAACCATTCTAAGAGATCTGCTTTCTTTTCTCTTCAGGAGCCTCCAAACAGGTGGCTTTGCCTGGGAGGGAGAGGTAAAGAACAGCGCGTATAGCAAGGCCACAGGGGTGGTCCCGCAGCACAGGTGCCACTCCACAGTAGGCAGCTACCAACTCCATTTTGCCCTGCAACAACTTGAACAGCAAAAACTTCAGTCCCGGCAGCTTCTGGACCAGAGTCGAGCCCGGCACCAGGTAATTCAAGATAAGACTTTTCCATGTGCTAATATCTTCCTTCTGTTGGGTAAATTCTTTTTTTTTTTTCATGAGAAATGTGGGGATAGTTTCTCAAAAGTTTACCAATGCCACCATGGCTTGAATGGTTCATGGGGAATCTACCCACGGGGAAGAAATGTTCTGAATCCATACATTGGCTTTGTGGGAAAGTGATCTCGAACCAATTTTGACATTCTTTCTTTCATTTGAATGAATGTTCTTCCACAAAAATCTCTTTTGTAGTATTTACCCTTTCTGTTGCCTGATCTTAGTTCAGTAATTTCCCAAGGGTCTAATTCCCAGATACCTAAAAGCTAGCATTTTAAAGATTTTTTTCTAAATGTACCACTTCCTTGCCTTCATTGACTTGGTCTATTTAAGCACACATTAATCCTTTATGGCCTATCAAGATTTTCAAGGAATAAATAACTTTCAAGTTCTTATAGGAAATGGTCTTAATCTAGGTCGTTGGTCTTCTGGTTTAACAGTTTGTACATAGGACAATGTACACAAAAATGTAACAATAGACACAAAAATTCTTGTTGTAGTGGAACTTACACTCTACTGAAATATGAATTCCCTACTCACTGTCTATAAAATGACAAACTCCTGAGTATATGTGTAAGGGAATTATATAAGTATATTGCACTAGCGAATCAGTATGGCCCCAATTACAGAGAAAGGATGACTTCACAAAAAAGTCAGGCCGTGAAGACTTAAATTTTTCCTGATGAGTCAGGATTATCATTCGAATCAGTTACCATGTTCTACATGTTCTGCTGGGCTGAATCCATACTGATTCTGTGAGCTTCCCTGATATTTGGTTGTGTGAAGAAATAGCTTATATCAGCTTGATCTCTTGTCATTTGCTCTTATAAAAATGTAGTGTGCATTAGTGTGTGCAAAATTAATATTCACTCAAAGGCTAAGGTAATGTTCCCAAGTTTTTTTTTTCTTCTATATAAAACAGTTATCATCATGCTCTCTCTCTTTGTTTTTTCAAATGCCGTCCAGGTCCAGAGAAATTTTTATTTTTTTCAGTGTCATTCACCACTTGATCATCTTATCTGTGATAGTATAATCTGTATATTATATTAATTCATTGGAATTGAGAAATCGTTAAGTGCAGGCATTTGTTTAAGGGTTTGTTTGTTTCTTTTAATATTTATTTATTTATTTATTTGGCTGCACCAGGTCTTAGTTGTGGCATGCTGGATCTTCGTTGCAGCATGTGGGATCTTGTTCCAGGGACTGAACCCCGGCCGCCTATATTGGGAGCACGGAGTCTTAATCACTGCACCACCAGAGAAGTCCCCAGGCATTTGTGAAGTAGCTTTTTAGGTCATTTTTACTGGAGAAAAATCCAGACTTCTTATCTGTCAAGCATGGAATATAGCATCATCACACTGCCCTCTGCCATGTAGAAATTTCCTTATTTAAATAGTCTTTGGGATAACGGAGGCATTTAGGCCAGTTTGCAAACAAAAAAAAAAGAATTTTTTTTTTTTTGGCCGTGCTGCAGAGCTTGTGGGGATCTTAGTTCCCTGACCAGGGATCGGCAGTGAAAGCATGGAGTCTCAACCACTGGACCGCCAGGGAATTCCCAAGAGCTTTATTTGGGGTCTTAAGGATTCCAATTCAGGAGACAGATTTGGGTAATACCAAAAGATTATTCCAAGGAAGAGAAAAAAGTCAGGAGCTTACAAAGGCAAAAGCCACAAGGTTGTTCAAGAATTATGATTGATCCTGATGCACGAAAGGAAATATTTATCCTTAAAGGATAGGCAGTTATGAGTTATTTTAGGGTAAGGGTCCAATAAATAAATAGGCTATCACAAGTTATTTTAGAGTGTAAGGGTCCACTAAGTATCTTGAGTTTCTGGAACATTGGGCAGATGTTCTGGATTCCTATGTTAAGACAAGAAGTGGTCAAAGTTCAAATTCCATCCCTGCTGAGATGTGCAAAAGTCACACTTCCTCAATGGCCTCCTGGCTCCATTTTAGAGAGCCCTCTTAGCAATAACAACTCCATTTAAATTTTTCTTCCGCAGTGTATCTTAGTCTTTTTTTCAATCTGTGTAAATTTCTTAAAACTTTTTAAACTTCTGAACCCCCTGCCATTCAGATTACTTAAGAATGCCAACTTAATCAGATGCTGGATAGTGGAAATATACATAGCCTTATTTCCCTTGTTTGAGTATAATCTATGGCTCTAATGCATCTAGACAGTTGGTCCCTTTTAATGCTTCCATACCTTGAAATGGTGGATGATTAAAGAAAAAAAAAAGGAGGTGATTTGCAGAGCACTGAGGTTTTGAGGAAAGAGAGACAGTTTTGCTGATTTTCACTTTTAGAAACTGCTTCATTTATAAGTCCTTCTCATTCTTTTGATTAGCTTCCAGCAAGTCACATTCCTTTGAAAATTCAGAGTACTGCTATTCTTGTGTGGATTTTTTTTTTCACTGAGGATTATACTGATTGAGTTTCACTGAACTATGAAGTATATGGAAAATATGTTTTTTAGAATCTGTCAGAATGCCTGTTTTAGGGAGGAGTCAGCACTCCCAAGAAGGGAGTTATCTCGTGTCTTCTGGAGAGGGAACAGAAAATCTTTTATCATAATTTTATATATGTTTATAACATCATTTTATTTTTTCCCCCATTCTTCTAATCCACAGTTGACTTAGGTCAAAATGAGTAATCGTGAAGTTTGGGACTGTGGGGGAGAGTGAAAGAAACTAAATTCTATTAGCTTGAAGAGTTTATAACTAATAAAATAGCAAATAAGATAGTAAGTATTCTAACATGAAGAATAGTACCTTAGAGCGCTTTATTTCAGAGGACATTAAGAAACACTCCACAGAAGGAGCAAAGCCCTAATTAGATTTTTAAGCCTGTGTTTTTAGCTCACCTTGTGACTGTGCTAGACCTGACCCTTATAATTACAACCAAATGATTGCTTGAAACATGGTTTGCCTTCTCAGGATGTCCTATATGTCTGTCCTTGGGTTAACCCCTTTAGATAGAGATGGTTTCTCTGATGAACTTCTTATGCTTTGGATTCAATTTTCTAAAGTGTAGGTAGCCATTGATATAACTAACAATTTGGTTAATTGCCTGTTTGAGAGCAGTGAGTAGAATTGAAATCTGATTTACCTAGTATCCATTCACAAGAGAGATGTGTTTATGGACCAGGACATTAAAAGGGGCCTTGTATTGTATTGTATTGTATTGTATTATATTATATCATATCATATCATACATGGACAGACAGTGCCTTTCATAGTGATCTCCTAAAAATATTGTTGGAAAAATAATCATGCAGCCTTTCTTGCATTACATGCAGAGGAAGTTCTCCATCCTTTCTGCACTTAGATAGCCAGCCTTTTTTTTTAATTAATTAATTTTTTAGATAGCTTTTTGTAGGTATTAATTTCAAGGAGGAAAACTCTGATTCAGGATATGAGTTTTGAAATGGACATCTCTAACCATTCATGCAGTGTAAGCTTTGATCCTCATTTCTGTCTAGCATTTCACTCATAAATCTAGGAATTTTCATGTAGCGAATCACCCCTACAAAAGACTGGTCCTGTAGCATGGACCTGGGAGAGGAAAGTCACCTGGAGCCATTGGCGGAGGCTTCCAGGGCCAGAGGTACAAGGAAATAGGTGTGATCCAGTCCATTTGATAGAGAGCATGATAAACAAAATAAGACAAAATTGAAACTATGAGCTTTTACACACTGATGGGTAAAACTAGCAATTTAAAAAAAAAATCATTCTAAATCAGAGCAAGGGTCAGCAAGCTTTTTCTGTAAATCGTCATATAGTAAATATTTTAGGCCTTGCAGGCTGTACGTAGGGTCTGCGGTAACTACTCAGTTTTACCGTGGTAGAATGAAAACAACCATAGACAACATGTAAATGAATGAGTGTGGCTGTTTTCCAATAAAACTTTATTTACAGAAAAGATGGCAGGCTGGATTTGGCCTGCAAGCCGTAGTTTGCAGATCCTTGGCTTTGAGTAACAGAACCCCTTGGAGGGTCTCTTAAAACACCAATTGCTTCCCTGACTCCATTTCTGATTCAGTAGGTTTAGGATGGGCCTCAATTTTTTCCAAGTTCCCAGATGATGCTAAGCCTTTTCTTCTGGGGCCCACACTTGGAGAACCATTAAGCTAGAGAGAAAGAGATTAGAAATGTCTCCCTTTTATTTGTCTTCTGTCTTTTGAAAGGGAGGCTGGATTTGTTAAAATTTAGTGTTGCCCTTATAAAATTTCAGGCAATCTTTTTTTTTTATAGGAACTTTGTTTCCATCTTTTTCACTTCATCTACTACAGTTTCCTTATAAATAAGTTTTCCAAACTTGAAAACTTCCTGTTCATTCTTCTTATCGGGGTACATTCTGCTCAGCAACCACTGCTCCCAGGATTCAAGTTTTATGATGGATGAGAGATAAGTAATGGGACAGATTCCTCCCTCTTTGTTTTAGTAAGAATAGCCAACTCTTAATAAGCACTTACTGTGGTCCAAGCACTATTCCAGGTGCCTTACATATACTAATTCATTTAAAATGAGTTCCAGGATAGTTGAGGAAATTGCAGGATCTTGGTATTCTAGGGATGGTACAGTGACTCTGTGTGCTGATACATCTGAATGTGTCTCCTCTCCGGTTTCCCTGATTGCTTCCCACTTCCTTCTCAGACTGGCTTCCTGCCCCTGAAGGAGAAGGATAAAAAAATTTTCTGTCAGCTGAATGGGGGGACTTTCTTGGGCAGCAGTGACTGCTGGTGACATCAGCATGAGTAGCTCTCCCTGCTGGGGTCTGTGAGGAGGGCTACACCGGCTCTGAGGCCTGACTGACCTGATTCTAATTGCCAACGCTGAGCTGATGTTATTCTTGGCCCAGGGCAGAGCGATTACTGAGTAGTTTCTGTTAAAGTGATCCTTTGTTAAACCTCTGCTCTCAACCCCCATCTC